CTATGTTTCTGTTTTTGTGCCAGTACCATATTGTCTTGATTACTGTAGCTTTGTAGTATAGTCTGTAGTCAGGGAGTCTGATTCCGCCAGCTCCGTTTTTTTCCCTCAAGACTGCTTTGGCTATTCGGGGTCTTTTGTGTCTCCATACAAATTTTAAGATTTTTTCTTCTAGTTATGTAAAAAATGCCATTGGTAATTTGATAGGGATTGCATTGAATCTGTAGATTGCTTTGGGTAGTTTAGTCATTTTCACAATATTGATTCTTCCAATCCATGAACATGGTATATTTCTCTACATCTGTTGGTATCATCTTTAATTTCTTTTATCAGTGTCTTATAGTTTTCTGCATACAGGTCTTTTGTCTCCCTAGGTAGGTTTATTCCTAGGTATTTTATTCTTTTTCTTGCAGTGGTAAATGGGAGTGTATCCTTAATTTCTCTTTCAGATTTTTCATCATAAGTGTATAGGAATGCAAGAGATTTCTGTGCATCAATTTTGTATCTTGCGACTTTACCAAATTCATTGATTAGCTCTACTAGTTTTCTGGTGGCATCTTTAGGATTTTCTATGGATAGTATCATGTCATCTGCAAACAGTGACAGTTTTACTTCTTCTTTTCCAATTTGTATTCCTTTTATTTATTTTTCTTCTCTGATTGCTGAGGCTAGGGCTTCCAATCTATGTTGAATAATAGTGGTGAGAGTGAACATTGTTGTCTTGTTCCTGATCTTAGAGGAAATGGTTTCAGTTTTTCACCATTGAGAATGATGTTTGCTGTGGGTTTGTCATATATATCCTTTATTATGTTGAGGTAGGTTCCCTCTATGCCCACTTTCTGGAGATTTTTTATCATAAATGGGTGTTGAATTTTGTCAAAATCTTTTTCTGCATCTATTGAGATGATCATATGGTTTTTATCCTTCAGTTTGTTAATATGGTGTATCACATTGATTTGTGTATATTGAAGAATCCTCGCATCCCTGGGATAAATCTCACTTGATCATGGTGTATGATCCTTTTAATGTATTGTTGGATTCTGTTTGCTAGTATTTTGTTGAGGATTTTTGCATCTATATTCATCAGTGATGTTGGTCTGTAATTTTCTGTTTTTGTAGTATCTTTGTCTGGGTTTGGTATCAGGGTGATGGTGGCCTCATAGAATGAGTTTGGGAGTGTTCCTTCCTCTGCAGTTCTTTGGAAGAGTTTGAGGAGGATGGGTTTTAGCTTTTCTCTAAATGTTTGATAGAATTCACCTGTGAAGCCATCTGGTCCTGGGCTTTGGTTTGTTGGAAGATTTTTAATCACAGTTTCAATTTCATTACTTGTGATTGGTCTGTTCATATTTTCTATTTCTTCCTGGATCAGTCTTGGAAGGTTATCCCTTTCGAAGAATTTGTCCATTTCTTCCAGGTTTCCCATTTTATTGGCATAGAGTTGCTTGTACTCATCTCTTAGCATGCTTTGTATTTCTGTGGTGTCTGTTGTAACGTCTCCTTTTTCATTTCTAATTTTATTGATTTGAGTCCCCTCCCTCTTTTTCTTGATGAGTCTGGCTAATGGTTTATCAATTTTGTTTACCTTCTCAAAGAACCAGCTTTTAGTTTTATTGATCTTTGCTATTGGTTTCTTTGTTTCTATTTCATTTATTTCTGCTCTGATCTTTATGATTTCTTTCCTTCTGCTAACTTTGGGTTTTGTTTGTTCTTCTTTCTCTAGTTCCTTTAGGTGTAAGGTTAGATTGATTTTTTGAGATTTTTCTTGTTTCTTGAGATAGACTTGTATAGCTATAAACTTCCTTCTTAGAACTGCTTTTGTTGCATCCAATAGGCTTTGGATCATCATGTTTTCATTGTCATTTGTCTCTAGGTATTTTTTGATTTCCTCTTTGATTTCTTCAGTGATCTCTTGGTTATTTAGTAACGTATTGTTTAGCCTCCATGTGTTTGCATTTTTTATGTTTTTTTCCCTGTAATTCATTTCTAATCTCATAGTGTCAGGGTCAGAAAAGATGTTTGATACGCATTTATTTATGATATGACTTTATTTTCTTAAATTTACTGAGGCTTGATTTGTGACCCAAGATGTGATCTGTCCTGGAGAATGTTCCTTGTGCACTTGAGAAGAAAGTGTAGTCTGCTGTTTTTGGATGGAATGTCCTATAAATATCAATTAAATCTATCTGGTCTATTTTGTCAATTAAAGCTTCTGTTTCCTTATTTATTTTCATTTTGGATGATCTGTCCATTGTTATAAGTGAGGTGTTAAAGTCCCCCACTCTTATTGTGTTACTGTTGATTTCCTCTTTTATAGCTGTTAGCAGTTGCCTTATGTATTGAGGTGCTCCTATGTTGGGTGCATATATATTTATAGTTGTTATATCTTCTTCTTGGATTGATCCCTTGATCATTACCTAGTGTCCTTCCTTGTGTCTTGTAACATTCTTTATTTTAAAATCTATTTTATCTGATATGAGTATTGCTACTCCAGCTTTCTTTTGATTTCCATTTGCATGGAATATCTTTTTCCATCCCCTCACTTTCAGTCTGTATGTGTCCCTAGGTGCTACTCCAGCTTTCATTTGATTTCCATTTGCGTGGAATATCTTTTTCCATCCCCTCCCTTTCAGTCTGTATGGTCTCTTGTAGACAGCATATATATGGGTCTTGTTTTTGTCTCCATTCAGCAAGCCTGTGTCTTTCGGTTAGAGCATTTAACCCATCACGTTTAAGGTAATTATCGATATGTATGTTCCTATGACAATTTTCTGAATTGTTTTGGGTTTGTTTTTGTAGGTCCTTTTCTTCTCTTGTGTTTTCCACTTAGAGAAGTTCCTTTAGCATTTGCTGTAGAGCTGGTTTGGTGGTGCTGAATTCTCTTAACTTTTGCCTGTCTGTAAAGCTTTTGATTTCTCCATCGAATCTGAATGAGATCCTTGCTGGGTAGAGTAATCTTCGTTGTAGGTTCTTCCCTTTCATCACTTTAAGTATATCATGTCACTCCCTACTGGCTTGTAGAGTTTCTGCTGAGAAATCAGCTGTTAACTATATGGGAGTTCCCTTGTATGTTATTTGTCGTTTTTCCCTTGCTGCTTTCAATAATTTTTCTTTGTCTTTAAGTTTTGCCCATTTGATTATTACGTGTCTTGGCATGTTTCTCCTTGGGTTTATCCTATACGGGACTCACTGTGCTTCCTCGACTTGGGTGGCTATTTCTTTTCCCATGTTAGGGAAGTTTTTGACTATAATCTCTTCCAATATATTCTCAGGTCCTTTCTCTTTCTCTTCTCCTTCTGGGACCCCTATAATGCGAATGTTGTTGCATTTAATGTTGTCCCAGAGGTTTCTTAGGCTGTCTTCATTTCTTTTCATTCTTTTTTCTTTATTCTGTTCCACAGCAGTGAATCCCACCATTCTGTCTTCCAGGCCACTTATCCATTCTTCTCCCTCAGTTATTCTGCTATTGATTCCGTCTAGTGTGGTTTTCATTTCAGTTAATGTATTATTCATCCCTGTTTGTTGTTTAATTCTTTTAGATCTTTTTTAAACATTTCTTGCATCTTCTCCATTTTTCCCTCCATTCTTTTTCCGAGGTCCTGGATCATCTTCACTATCATTATTCTGAATTCTCTTTCTGGGAGGTTGCTGATCTCCACTTCATTTAGTTGTTTTTCTGGGGTTTTATCTTGTTCCTTCATCTGGTACATAGCCCTCTGCCTTTTCATCTTGTCTATCTTTCTGTGAATGTGGTTATTTTTCCACAGGCTGCAGGATTGTAGTTCTTCTTGCTTCTGCTCACAGGATTGTGTCTTGATTGCTCCTCCTTTGTTTCTGCATTCCCTCACTTTCCTGGTTAGCAACTGTTTGAATCTTCCCTTTGGAACTAAGTGAAGGTCAAGGATGCTGGATGAAACCTACAAACAAGAAATGTGGAACACGGAAAGGATTTGTACCTAGGAGGGCCCTATAGGGTCCTGCTTGGTTTCAGAGTCACATAGTTATTGCATTACAGGAAGGTTGCACTTGCAAAATTCTATCAATAGAGATTTTTTGTTTCTGAGATCTTGCTTTAGAACACTTCTTTACAACCAGTAAAAATAGAAAAAGAAAACAAAACAAAAAAGCAGGAAAAAATAAAAAGCTGTTCTCTGTTGGCAATATTGTGGCTAGTGGATAAGAGAAAAAGTGGGAACATAATTCCCTTCACTGTTACAAGTACACTCCTCTCAGAAATTGTAGCTTTTTAGAGTCCCAAAGTATGAAGAAATAAAACAATTGTCATTTAGAAACTTGGAAACAGTTTATTTCAGTGATGCCAGCAGGCTACATGGAGACAAGGAAGGCTCTCAAAATACTTTGTCATAGGCAATCTTATGTGAGACAAACAAAAGCGTTTCTCCAATAAGAGTATAGCAGATCTGGTGGGTTTTCTTTCTTTTATTTACCCCTTCGTTTTTTTTTTTTCTTTCTTTCTTTCTTTTTTTCCAAATAACCAATATTTATCTCACAGACTTAAATTTCTTTAAGCATTATTAAAAAAAAAAAATGCTGGGATAGGGGAAGGAGTGAAGGAATCAAGAGTCATCTTTGTTTGTTAACTGGCCTTCACAAAGAAAAGTAAACATTCCTGTATCCTCATGATGGGAGATAGTTTCACAACTTGGAGAAAGCCTTCAATGGAAGTTAGGCTACTACCCTCCCACAGGCACTGGGAGATAGAAGCTCTATCTTCCTTGATTAATTATTACATTTCAATAGGATGATTCCTAGGTCCTGGAGAAAGAGTCCTGGGTTATAAAACTGGCAAAAGTTTGAGCTGGGAGAAGGTTGACATCTCAGAGCTGTGGAGAAAGTATTTACAATTGGAAATTTTCTAAAGTAAATGCTCTGAGAAAAGTGAGGTCAGATGCCTACACTCTGGAAGAAACCTGTCTACAGTTTAGCCAAGCTAGAGGGATCATTGCATCCATCTCGTGTTCTTTTTCTTTTTTCCTCTCTCACAGGACCGTGCACAAAACCTGAATGAACGGCGAACCACTACCACCACCCTCACAGTGGATGTTCTAGATGGAGATGACCTGGGTCCAATGTTTCTTCCTTGTGTCCTTGTGCCAAACACTCGTGATTGTCGCCCACTCACCTATCAAGCTGCCATACCTGAGTTGATGACTCCGGTAAGCATACTCCCATCTTTTCTTCTTCACTTCCACCTCTCTAACCCCAGTGTGATCCTGTTCAAGTATTTTGAACACATATTCAGTGAAAATAGCAAACTTCACTAGATTGGTATTGAAAAATATTTATGTTCAAAACCATTTGGAGACAGTATGGGTAAATTTTTGGTCATAATGCATAATTACATCATTTACAAAGTAGAAAGTATGTCATGAAGCAACAGCCTATTTGACTCTGATTTTTTTTTTTTTTCTGTGTGTAAAGCATAACAAATTTCAGTTACCAACATATACTGGGAAACCCCAAGAAATGACTCCAGTATTTCCTTAAATTCACATGTAAACATGGAGCCCTAAGTCAGAGGACACACAAGTCAACAGGATACTCTCTTGTCTCTTAGAGCCCTGAAATATTATTGGAGATTATGCTTGGCTGTTTGAAGGTGGAAGCTAATGAATCCTGAATTCAAATATTCAATATTTATTAGTTAAAGATGTATTTTAAAGAAACAAAAAGTTAAGGCATGAGTACCTATTTTCTACACTCAATTCTGCATTTGTTTTTTACAATTCTAATAAATCTTAACTTGCTGTCAGCCTGGAATTCATACCTTAGACCTGCCTGGATGATAAATATACATACCTAAGAATAAAACTTATAAGGCTAACAGATATCCTGCTTAGGCTAAAATATCAATTTCTCCCTTATAAGTAAAAAAAAAAGAAAAAAATGAATTCTCTTTTACAGCAGTCAAATTCCTAGGAGTGAACTATTTGATTAATGTCTTTGCTGTTCCTCTGGAAAGCATTCAGCCTTCTGGGTTAGTAACATGACTGATGCTGTCAGAATTTGTTGCAAGGTATTTGAATTTTTTTCTCAAACATTTGAGCACTGTGGTTTGGGGGTCCTCTATTTGAAATTTTTTAAAAGAATAGAACAGAAATCCCTTCTTCTAAGTGTAAATTACACTGCATTCCAGTCACTTCAAAGAATTCTTATCCTATATTTTACCAATTACTTTATCCAATATTTTACCTGCTAGCTTTACTAACATAACAATAGCTCTTAAATGGTTGAAAATCACTTTCGTGTCTGTTGGCATAAATGATTACTGTTCTAATTGGCTTGCATGAAAAAAATAAGCCGGGAAAAAAAGAATAAATGTTATGATGTGCATTGAGTGAAGAAAATAATATAAATTTTCAGCTAAATGGAGTAATTTTGCAGACAAAAAAGCTAATGTAGAGATTGTCTAGACAAACATTCATAGGTTACCTAAAGTTATATGTCATGATATTATTTTTGTTGAATATCAGTGAGAAGCCTTAATGATGTGAACATTGAACTTTTCTTTGAAAGGCTTAATTGAAATCATGACAAAAAATATTTTTAGTATTAATTTATTTTTGAGTTAATTTATGTAGCTGGTGTACCAGTGAGATCCCAAGAGAAGGGGAATACTGATATAATAAGACTAAAATCAGTGAACCAGTATGATGAATGTTTAACAGTACTTGATGTACTGAGAGAAGTAAATAAAGACAGAGGTTCCTGCTTGAGAAGCAAAGTGTATTGACTTTATAAAGGATCTTTGAGTATCCCTTCCTCTCTGCTCCAGATTACAGAATAAGCATCTCTCTCATTCCTATACAGTTTCATGCTAGAGACAAAGTCATGCTCCAGATTTGGGGTAAATGACAATAATGACTAATGGTTATATAGATTGTTCAGTTTGTCATGAACTGTGTTAAATTCTACAAAAATACTGACTTAAATCCTTGTGGATAATTACCACTATTATGGTTTTTTATAGATGAGATCTCTGGGGTACAGAGTTTAAGTAACTTAACCTTATAGCTAATAAGTAAAAAGAGTTTTCTTTTAAAATCATGTATCTTAAATTAAATGGTATGCTATAAATTCCAGAATGATCAAACTGGAATGCTTCGTCATCATTTTTAAACATATCAACCCATTCTTTAACATTCTGTTAAACAAAAAGAATTTTAGTTTTACAGATTTAAATTTAAATACTTATGGCAAGTATTTATTTGTTAAGCATTATATTTTTATTGCCATGTAGAAAAAAATTAAATATGTTTACTTACAAAATTAGGCAATTGTTCTGATTATCAATCACTGTATAACACACCACCAAAACTTAGTGGCTTCAAATTACAATCTTTAAATTTGTTCATAAAACTGCACTTTTGGCAGACTTGAGGGAATGCCTCATCCCTACTCTACACAGCATCAGCTAGGGCATGTTGACTAAGGGCTGGGGGGTCACTTTGACTAAGGGCTGGGTACCACTTTCCAAATGGTAAACTTCTCAAGTTGATTCCGGCTGTTGGTTCCAGCTTAGTGAGGACTGTGAGCTGGAGGCTTCATTTCTACTCATGTAGGTCTTTCCTGGGCTATTTGGGCTTCCTCACATCAAAGCATTGGGTTCTAAAAGCAAGCTTTCCCAAAGAACTGGACAGAACTTTTATGAACTAGCCTTGTAATTTTCAGTGTCACTTCAGTGTCACTATAGTCATACCTCTGCCAGATTCAAGGAGTAGAAGTATATACCATCTCCTGAAGGGAGGAGTGTAGGGGTCACACTGTACGAAGAATGTAAGGGGAAGGAAGTTTTATTGTGGCCATCATAGGAAAACGAAATCAGCTGTAGTAATGGCCTCAGGTTTCCACGTGCTCTTTTACATGCCATTTCAGATCCCCTCTGGATCGCTAGGGTTAAGAAGTGTAGCTAGTTTTTAAGTTTCACATTCAAATTGCTGTGTTTATGTCTGTCTTTTTTTAAATTTTCTTTTTTCTTTCTATTTTCCTTTGCTATTTCCATACTTTGCTAAAATTTCTGGAAATTTCAATAAATAAGATCTTATATTCAGAGCAAGAGAGCTAACCATTTATGTCAGCTAAACAGGATATGATGACTCTAATTACATACTTGCTGATCCTTTCCTGACTAATTCTTCAAAATTTTGAGAGCTTTGACACCTGCTCACCTTCTGGGTTGATGTGAAATTTTCCACCAATTACCTCAGTGATATTCTTGACTTGAGATACCATCCTTAGTTCTACCACAATGTGTGCAGAATTTATCAGCTCAGAAAATCTTTAAAAGGTAGTCTAGTAGAGTGTTTAACCCATGAACCAAGATATAATAAAAATAATACAATATAAATATGTTATAAATCTGGTGTCTCGGGCACTAAAGTAAATTGTAGCCCTGTGCTAATTATTGTGTATTTATTAATTTGGTAAATAGCCACTGGACCCTAGTATATGTTGAACTCTATGTTAATAGAGGAGACTTGTCAACCTGGATAAGATAAAATTCTTCTGATATATTGTGTAAATTTATTCTCACTTTCTGACTCTCTTAAAGTTGTTATGCCTATCTAGTTGAAGATTTCTAGTTTTATAGAAAACTTCTGTAGAATTTGGAGAGTATAGGGTCCATGGTTCTATTTTCTCGATTTCCTATTAAAGGCAAAGACAGTAAATACTTATGTATTTTTTTCAGTGTTGAACAGTTGCATAATGTTTGGCTAGTTGGATTTACTGCTGAGTAAATTGTCCCTGGTTGGAAACACCATAGTATTAATATAATATTTACATATTAGCTATGCATTTACTATATATATATTTTCCTATATTTATTGTGCCGTGCAGTTTTCAGTATTTTGGCATTAGTTGCTTACCAGACATGGCCATCTAGTAGCTAGAATCCATGCTCTAATGAATTCTTCCCCAACCCTGTTAAAGCCTTGGGTTAGTTCCCAAGACTATCTTGCCACAAATGCCTCCACTATAATCTTTGTCATAAAGAGCTCTAGTTTTCAGGTAGCTATCAAAGAGAGTTCTTCTGCTTTATTTATGCTGCTCTCTCCTTCCAGGGAAACTTTCTCAATTATTACAAGAGTGGTGATGATTTCCAGTGATGTATGACATTTATAATTTCCTCTTGGCTCATGCTCATTAAATGTGTTACAATCTGGGAACTCTCTCCTCTCTTGTCTTTTATGAAACTAACTGGTTCTTTTCCTCCCCTTGATGGCCCTGTGTTTCCTCCTCTTAAATCTTTGATGGCCTTTTATTATTTCTTTTTTTTTTTTTTTGGTAAAGGGTATCTCCGTTCTTGGATTGATTGATTGATTGATTGATTCTTATTCTTAAATCTTAGGGATTTTCCAGACTTCTATCTTTTGAAGCTTTTTTTTTCCTTTTCGCTATATTTTTCACCAAGATTCATCAGACCTACATAATGTGTTCCTTTTTCACCAAATAAGGATGATCTGTGTGTTGTAGAAGTGTTTTCTGACCTGAAATCTTTCCTGACTTCCAAGCTTACAATTCTCAGTTTTTCTCGGTAGTTTTCTTATACTCCCCACAGGCACCTCATTATCCTTTCTAATATATTCTGATGCATCTGGCCACTCTCATGTTACCTTTGTTACCTTTGGGGTCTTGGTTGATTTGGATCTAGATTTCAATGACCCCCCTCATCTCAAACTCAATCAATCTCCAAAGACATTCTCTGCATTATCTATGAAATGTTACTCACATATGTTTGACGCCTATTTTCCTGCCCAAATACCTGCCTAGAGGCATACCCTCAACTCTGGACCCCTAGAATTGGAATACAATTCTGATCTGATCTTTCACTGTCTAATTAAAGTTTCAGTATTTCCCATCATATACCAAATAAGTTTCAAAACTTTGATCATATCATTTAGAGTAATTTTATATCTGACCATTTTTCAGTCCCATCTCTTTTAACTTGCATAAAGAAACTTCTCTAGAAACAGAGCTTTGCACATGTACCTGGACTTCTCTGAGAATTACCCTCCCTTTTCTCCACTTTGTTTCATATATTAAGCTTATGGTTTTTATTCAAGCTTCATCTTGGTAATATGAAATGATAGGCCCTTAAAATTAAGTTTTTCTCTGTTATCTGCATGAATTTCTACTATAAGCACTGAACTCCCTG